CAATTCTCCACAGCAATGAAAAATTAATACATGACAAGCCCCCTCACCGCTGAGCCGAGCTTCTTGCTTTTATTTTTCTTGTTGTGCTTTTCTTAATTTGAATATGCCCTACTGATAAAGCTTTGGCAGGAGAGCAGCAAACAAAGTCCTCTTCCCTAGCCGCTACAACCCCTAACCCCTCCATGGAACCACGTCATCCTAAACCGAACAGCCTGAACCATGCTGCAAAATACCCAGGCTGTAGAAGCAAGTCTTCACGTTCAGAGAAAGTGGTTCTGAACAGAGGTAGATATTCCAGGCTAAGGCATTCATGCTAAGATGGCTTTAAGGGCAGGATTAGCAATGCTAAAGGAGACAGCTTCAGTATTTTTAGTTTAAGTGTCTCTTTCCGAGAAGTACAAAACTTTCTATTGATTTTAACTTCGGGCTAACACCGTTCCAGACATTTTCTGTCTTTATTTGATCAGGAGAAGGTATTGAAATAGCAAGTGAGGCTTTTTTCCTTCTTTTTTTTTCCCCTGAAGATTATTGCATTTGCAGAGCTCAGAGGATGCTGAAAGCACCGTGGGCCTACAAGGAACCTGGAGAAGAGCTTGGCTGAACACAAGCCAGCGAGAAGAAATCCTTCATTAACTTCAAGTAGTCACCAGCAGCATCTAAAGAAAACAGGAAAGTTGTGGTGCTTCACAGACCAGCCCGGAAAGAGCATTTGTTTGAGCCGACCACACGTTACACACAAAGGGAGTTATTAGACCTGTGGGTGCAGGGAGGGGGAACACTTCCATAGCAGATTATCTGCTAGAAGACTTGGTGAAAGGAGAAGGAGAAGCCAGAAGTACAGTAGCCAGGCTGCGATTCCAGTCCAGTGTTATATCTCAGACAGGAGGAGAAGAAAGTGATCATTTAACCTCCAAGACAAGCGAGTAAAAGAAGAGCCAGCCTCTAAGCAAGGTTAAAAAGTTACCTAAATTAAATATACTTAAAATGGGCTACAAGAAACCTGGAGAGGGGCTTTGGACAAGGGCCTGGAGGGACAGCACAAGGGGAATGGCTTGAACCTGCCAGAGGGGAGGTTGAGATGAGCTCTTGGGCAGAAGCTCTTCCCTGTGAGGGTGCTGAGGCGCTGGCACAGGGTGCCCAGAGAAGCTGTGGCTGCCCCATCCCTGGCAGTGTTCAAGGCCAGGTTGGACACAGGGGCTTGGAGCAACCTGCTCTAGTGGAAGGTGTCCCTGCCCGGGGCAGGGGTTGGAGCTGGAGGAGCTTTAAGGTCCCTTCAACCCAAACCAGTCCGGGATTCAGTGATTTCAGGTGTGCTGATACCACTGTGCACACAGAAGGTGTTTGTACCTCCCTGGAAAAATGCCCTTCCCGAAAAACTCTTCACTCACCTGAACGGTGTTTTGGCAGAAGTTAACAGTCAGATGTTTAAAACATGCCTGACTCTCCCTGCCTACGTTTTTGGGTTTCTGCTGGGAGAGGAAGGTTTCTCAGAACTGTTTTATATGGATTAGCCCAATAAAACCGTATTTAGCAGTGCAGTGAGAAGTGATTTTTAACATTTTGAAAGGACAGAAAGAATAAGAACATTAACTCTTCTTGACCAGACTGCTTTGCGTCATGGGCATACCTCTGAAGGAGCAAGTTCTACCTATGTCACAGAGTGGTTTGGGTTGCTATTTTGTAATGACATGGTTTTCAACGGAGAACACAAAATCCACTCTATTTGAACTTCAACCATAACTTTGGGTTTGTTCAGGGCTTTTTTCAGGAGGGTGGGAGGGGCAGTGTAAATCTGCTCATAAGCTCAACCAACACAACTGAAGCACTTATCTACTAGTAGGAGCTTGGACTTCTGCCTTGCACCAGAAGCACACCCTTGCCAGCAGCCCTTATGAAGTATTGCTGGCAGGCACATGGAGTAAGAACCCACAGAGAACAAAACAATGTACTGACGTAACAGATAGTAAATAGGCCTCGTCACTCTATGCTTACGAAGATGTCCCAAAGACGTAGTAGAGGAGTGTGTGCATGAAGCTGGCAAAGGCATTTTGCTCAAGAGCAGCTTGAAAAAGTCTGAGGATGTTTAGCACAACTGGAGGTGACCCCAGTAGCATGGGGTAGGGCAGTGAAGTGACTTCCAGGCTATTAGGACAAACACTGGAAAATGGGCTGGCAGAAAGATCAAAAAGAAGAACCTTTTAATGATATCATGATGCCAGAGAGGGACTCCTCATCAGGGACTGGAGCAATAGGACAAGGAGTGATGGGTTCAAACTGAAACAGAGGAAGTTCAGGTTAGATCTAAGGAAGAAGTTCTTTACAGTGAGGGTGCTGAGGTGCTGCAATGGATTGCCCAAGGACTGCTCCATCCCTGGCAGTGTTCAAGGCCAGGTTGGATGGAGTCTTGGGTGACATGGTTTAGTGTGAGATGTCCCTGCCCATGGCAGGGGTTGGACCTAGATGATCTTAAGGGCCTTTCCAACCCAAACCATTCTGTGATTCTATGATTCTACAGCTTGCATTCAACTTCCTGAAACCAGGTTTCTCTTTTCATTCCCAAGTGTCCCAAGTAAAACATGATAAGAGAGAATGGCTTCAGTCTACACCAGGGGAGGTTTAGACTGGATATTAGGAAATATTTCTTCACTGAAAGGGTGCTCAGGCATTGGAACAGGCTGCCCAGGGCAGTGCTGGAGTCACCATCCCTGGAGGTACTTTAAAGACGTGCAGATGTGCACTTAGGGACACAGTTTAGTGGTGGACTGGGCAAGTGCAGGTTTACAATTGGACTTGATGATCTTAATGGTCTTTTCCAACCTGACTGTGATTCCCTGGCCATCTGCCACAGAAACATCTCACGATGGAAGGGGCTTCTCACTGTAAGCAGCACGGTAACATGACATCCTACAATTTTTAGGCCAAAAAAGTTCCTTTCCACAGTTAACACATAAAAGATCTCACCTCAATCTCCCCTCTGGCAGGTTAGAGCCATTCCCCCTTGGCCTGTCCCTGCAGGCCCTTGTCCAAAGCCCCTCTCCAGGTTTCTTGCAGCCCCTTTACGTACTGGAGCTGCTCTAAGGTCTCCCTGAAGACTGCTCACAAGGTAGAAAACCTGTGAACTCCAAAATCCTTTCTCTTGAGGTATAAGTACGATGGGAAACACCACTGAGAGCAGCCCCACTATGGCACTGAGTACCCTTCACCCTCCCCTAGCACCGTTCAAAGTCTTGACGAAGAGGATGTATCTGCTGACCTCAGACCTGCTCAAATATTTGCTGCTAATTCCTTGTCTGTGACAAAATGCACTCACCAGAATTGGGAATAATAACAAAAAGCCCACCAAGTAGATGCTGCAGGGGGAATTTTTCAATACAGACAGTGAGGAGACTGGAACGGGTATTTCGTTACAACGTGGTGTAGTGCAATCACACTTTAAATGCTTCTCTTACAATAATCTTCCAGCAAGTGCATATTTAATCAGATTAATTTCATACAACAGCATTTCAGAAAAGAACAGCATGGATGCCTTGAATAAATATTGACAAGTGTAATCCTCAGTTTTTCATTCTCAGCTGCATTCACAGACACTTTTGGTTAATTACCATTACCCAACAGAGTTCCAGCCGGTCTAACCCATCTCATACCATACAAAAGCTGTGCAAAAAAACCCTGTAGCCTGTTTTAAATGCCTGGAATCTCCTCCCCTGAATGCAGAGCCAAATACTGAGCTGTTCTGCTTTCAAACTGCTCTGCTCAATTGCAGTGTGTTTGATTAAAATTTGCCTACTAGAGATTCAGAAGCACGACAGCACTTTTGCTGCCTAATGGTCCCTAAAGGTCTTTTTAACTGCCTTTAATAAGGAAAATCACTGCAAACAGGTCTCTCCCTCACCCCCCAAAAGAAATAAAACCCCAAAACGCAGAAACAGGAGACCGAGGGCTACCTGGCAAGATGAAGTATGGGCTGAAGAAGAGGCAAATGGCCCTCTGAAGGGTAAGAAAGCCACCAAAGGAAATGGGAAACAACCATGTGAGAAGAAAATAAGCTCCCGTCCCTCAGCACTTTTGCTGTCTCCAGCAAAGTAACTCACATGAAAGTAAATACTTGCAAACGCTGTCACAGAAGCTGTTTGTGAAGCACCCTATCCAAACGTGTTCTAAACCGTGTGATTTCAGTGTAATCTGATTTGAGAAAGAAAATGATCTCATTCACCCCAACCCTTCACGTCAGATGCCGGCGTTGCTTTTGCCTTTCAAAGGAGTGTTCACAACTCCAATTTAGCATTGAGTTTCCGGGCTAATGAAAGTGCATCCAGGCTAGTAAAGCAGACCAAAACAAATCCTTGAATTCAAGTCCTGTTGTGTAATGAGGAAGTTTAATTAAGGCCACACATTACAGCTGTAAACGTTCTCTTATATAATAAGGTCTAAATGAAACTGAACCTAATCAAAGTTACAATTCCTTCATTAGCAAATTACAAACAAGAGCACACAGCTGACACACCGGCTCTGATTATCACAACTAATTGCCTCGTTGTTACAAACCAGCCTGAAACTGTGTTCAGATGTCCGTCTGCAGTAGCAAATTAGGGCCACATCAGGCTATTTCTGCGATCACAAGGGGCTCTTGTAGAGCGATCTGATTTACCCTGCCGACTGGCAGCGCACAGCCCAATCAAAGCCCCCTCTACAAAGGCCGCTTTGAAGCCAGCACAGCCTAGAAACCCGCTCCATATGCAGGCCGGCAGACTGCACTTCATTAGGCCTGTTGTCACATTTTCCCTCTTCTTATTCTAATGATCCTATTTTAATACACATAGGAACCTCTCCTAATTGATGTCAAGTGAGTGACTTCCACATTCATCACCGGAGCACATCAAACACGTCTTGGCGCACGGGCCGCCATCAGAGTGTTTAAGACCCGAGGTGTGTCTCCAACTATGGAAAGCAGGGGGAAAAAAAATAAAGAGGAAATAAAAAAAGCAGTATTTCAGCATTACCTGTTTAATTGGGATTGCGCGACCGCTTCCGATGCTGTCTGTTCTGCTCTCCAGGACCTTCTTCTCTTTGTCTGGGTCACTCCCTTTCCGAGACTGTAGAGCGAAAAGAAAGTTTATGCTCCATTAAATGCAGCACTTCATAGAGGACACTTCCCCCCCACACACCTTTTTTTTAAGCAATTAAAAAAGGAAGTATTTTGCCACATAAATAGAGTCCCAAAGGCCACGAGTTAGAACCTGCAGAAGTACACAACCGAATGCTGAAATCTGCCTGTCATGTTCACCCGTGCGCTAGTTTGAAATGGCGTTTGGGTTTAAACAGCTCTCACTGCCTGAAGATCCCGCAGATCAGAGGACGTGTTTCTGAAGTTTCCAATCACAGCTCCAAAGAGGAATGAAGGTGCCAGCTTCTCATTAAAACAGGCGATACATACGTGCATACATTTAACTTGCATCCGCGTGGGTTTTAGAAATGCGACTTTTACGATGCTGGTTTTGATCATACAGACTTTAACTTGTTATTTTCGTCTACTTTTGGATGGTCAGAAAGTTGGAATTGCAAGAAAAGGGAGTGACTGATGCTGACAAAAAGTTACCTGAACGCAATGAAGAAACATCAGCATGAGGGAAATGTAACCAATGTTTAAAGCTCGAATTGCCCGATCTTGGCTATGTGTAACGCTACAATTGCCCTAGGAATAAGGTCACGGTGCTTACTTCATCTATAAAGTTAGATGGGAAGGTTAAGGTGTGATTCAGATTCCAGTCTGATATCGTGAAAGAACGCACGAGCATAATGAATTTGACAGATTTACTTTATTACAAAAAGAAGACCCGAGAGTCATCCTCCTTAATAACTGAACTGACAAGTGACAACTTCACTCCATTACTTTTCAATAGGAACATTACTCACACAATATTGAAAATGGGAAAACATTTTCATGTGCTTTTCAAATCAGAGATGATATATGAAAGGAGTACATTTGTGATGTCCAGTACCATAATGGGAAGTTAATGAAAATCAGGGAGACGCAAGATCCCGCTTTTCCTATTCAGTGGAAAAAGAGGTTTGAAAAGCACTGAAATCGGGAGAACAGCAAGGACTGGGGATAACTAATACCCATTTGCCATATTATATGAAGGGGTGCAAGGAAGAAAAAGAAAATCCCTAAAGCAGTTGCCTTCGGGCACGAGAGGAGGGAAGGGGAGGGAGAAAACCCATGAAGGAGGACTTTAAGAAGCACCATTCTAAGCAACACATTTACCCAGCAGGGATCCCGTGCTGCTTTCCCTGCTCTGCCGGGAACAGGCTCCTATCACTAGTTACTATGGTTCGGGGCTATGGAATGACGTGCTGGGGAATTAAACAAAGAATAAATGAAAGAAAGCAAAACAAGTGGGAGGGGTGAAATCCAGTGTTCAGGATAACTATTGTTCCTCGTCCTTCAAGCCAGATTTCTGAATCTGAAAGTGCCACTTCCCAATAATAAGAGGTAAAACAATGCATCAATGGCGCAAAGCGCCCGTCAGTGACATCTTAAAGAAACTCACTGAAGGTACCAAATCCTTGGGAGGGAAGTTGTCAACCTGAATGTTTCTTTTTTTTCCTATTTGGCTTTTTACCAGAAAGGATCCTGCCTCTGAAAAACAAGCTCAAGATCCACGCACTCTTCTTCATGTTTAGGTTTAAATCATCACGTCTTCCATTCCACACAAGTAACTGCGTCCCGAAATAACCATTGCACATAGAAGGGAAATACCTATATGCAAACCACTGCCAAATGCCAGAAGTAGAGAAATGTAGGAATTTATTAGGTAAGTTCTGTTCTAGCTGCTTGCAATCACATTTTCAAGGGGAAACTCTTAGCTGGTTCCACTATTTACAAAGATAAATTGTGCACTTAAATAGAGATACGTTCCCATCTTTTATGCTTTTGTACCTATGACACACACAATGCATCTTACATCCTATAGCATAGAAAAAAACAGCCTCTGAACCATACTGGACCAACATTAGCTAGGACTTTTTCTGATGTCACATCTACACATTAAGTAGTTTCATTTAAAACTTCATTCAAGCCCAAAAAAACCCAAACATCTGCATGAATATAATCTGACTCATTTCCCCTTTGCACTAGAAGTCATACACAGACTGAAAACATAACATCTTACCCAAGTTACGTCTGGGGAATAAGATTCAGTCCCAGAGGGATACAGAATCCAGTCCTGAGAGACCCAGAGGCGAGGAAACCAATCTCTACTAGTGGAAACCGAGACAGAGAGTTCATCTGAACTTCTTTACAAGTCATGCTCATATTTCACACTGATGTAAGACAGGTAATATTGAATATGGGAAAGGAGATGCTCTTAACAGTATCACAGGTTCATTCACCCCACACTGGACTGTTCACAGGGTTACAATCAGCTCTTTGCTGAAGTGGACCTCATGCACATGTCCCCTGTGCTAGACACTATTATTTAGCTGTCCGTGTTACTACACTGCACAAAACAGAAGACATTCACCCTTCTGCTAATATTCGAGCTATTTTATCACCTAACTACAAAGTCAGCTATTGCATCAATAGCTCTACAGCAAATACTGATATTCAAAGTCAGAAGGATCAGATACTGCATTTAATGCACTTAAACATGACCATGCTGCAAATTCTCAAGCCTATTCCCACTTCAAAGCTGCAACTGATTAAAAAAAAAATCAGATCTGTTTTCTACTTCAGCCAATTTTCTTCCAACACTAAAAGGTCTTCATGTAGGAAACTACCTATGCTAGATCACAAGGGGTAATTTGCAATTAAACAGAAATAGATTTGCCTCTGGAAGTGAGAAAGGCATAAGTAACAGGCTCGGAAAGAAGCACAGCAAGAAACCCAGAGCTAAACACTGAAGTATTTTGATGACACACTGTTCATAGCTAGACAGAAAATGCTGGTCATCTCTTCATTCAATTAAAGGATTGCGGGTCATAACTTGGCTGATATGGCATGAAACCTGGGGTACAGCAGGGCCAGTGTTAACTACGTCAGGACGTGGATTACAGGGCAAGTCATTACACAGCATTCAGTATGCCCAGGTCTTAAAAGACAGAACTAATTCTGAGAAGTCCAATTACCAGATCTCTTTCCACAGGACATGTTTCCCCCCAAATTCCCCCTGGTTATGAGACATTAAGACAACGATCAACATCCTCCCATTGTAGTAAATTTGTTTCTCACTGTGCTATTAATTATCAGAAGCCAGAGCTGTAGCCTATTTATTCATAGCAGAAGCAGCCGAGTTCCTCATCTTCTCAAACCTTTGCTGCAGATAGGTGTTATTTTTTTCTCCATTCACTTTCTCACATTTACACTTACTCCAGTGTAAAACATCCCCTGTTTCCCAAAGGTCAACAACATCCATACAGCCCTTGGAGCATTATATGCATCCTTCAGACCAGGCTCGGTCGGCGAATGCTTTTGCCGGATGCTGGCTGGAGCATCACGGCTGGATTCCCAGAGGTATGACTCTGCTGGCAGTTTCCGGGCTGATACTGACATCTAGTGGGGTTAGTAACTCCTAAGTATGCCCCATCAGCAGCGAGTATTCTCACCAACAGCAGGAAATCCACACGATTCCTATAGAACTAGCATCAAAATGGGATGCTTTTCCACACGCTGCTCATTTTTGCCTCTTTTATTGCTTTGCATCTAGACATTTGCACCTCGAGACAAACGTGTGGTTTGCATTCCTTTGTAGGAGTTTAAAAGATCTCATTTGAAATCAAAATATCACTGTGGGGATGGACACATGAAATAGGATCACTGGGGCTCCATGCTGTGCCACTCAGCGCTCCAAAATGAGGACAAAACTTTCTCCCTGCTGAAGGCCGAGAGGTCAGATTTTGTTTAGAGTACAAGGAAACGGTTTTCCTGGTTTTGTCTGTGGTTCCCTGGATACAACCACGGAGCAAGCTAGCTTTGGGAAGCAAACGTGACATCGCCTTTGGAATAAACCCCCATAAACTCTTTACGATGATAAGGAGGCCGTGGCTTTCTGAACGCAACCAACACGTAGCTACAACCACCACAGGGCTTCAGGTGAGCCCACAGGAATTCTGTGTTTGCTATAAAACATGTGAAGTGTCAGAAACCTGCTTACAAAACCCCAGTTACACACGGGATACAATCCCAAGGCTTTCAGCAAGACTGCTAAACTGAGGAAATCATCACTCAAGGCTTCATTATCATCTCCCAAACTACTTACGCATAACAAAGGCTTATTATATCGGACCACTCAAGCTTCCTATTTAGTACATTTTTTCTGCCTCTGAATGAAGCAAAGAAACAGATGGCTTGGGAAGAAAAAATCTCCATCATCTCTCTTACCCCCGGAAAATAAAAGTGAGTTGACACTGTAGAGTAATACAAATAGCACGGGGTAGTTACTTTGTGGGACAGCATGGTACTCCCATGGAAAACCTGGAGACTTCTCTACAAACACAGGAGACCTCACAAGGGAGCCCTGAGTCAGCAGCATAAGGGCAGGACTGGGGAGCAGAGGTCTTTGATGGCTGCCAAACCAGGGAATCTAGACAGGTCTGAGAATTAAAGTCAGACAAAGGCTTCAGAACTCAACTGTAGATTCACTTGTTTTACTGCAATTCCCAATAGGATAACTTTGTTTTAGTTAGCTTCTGTTCAAGTCCTCAAACAGAACCACCCCGTGCTAATTCTAAGATGCTTTTGAGCCTGCAGATTCATCCCCACACTCCTCTCTGGATTAGACCACCTCAATTCCACAGGGTTGAAGTTCAGGCCACCACCACAGAGCACTATGTATAATACAGCAACAGTCTCTTCCTTGGCTCACTCACCGTGAAGAGGTTGGATCGGCGCTTGGACTGTTTACGGACAGGAGTTGGTGTGTTGGCAGTGGGAGGAACATCAATCCGTAGCTCCTTCTGGCTGGTGCTTGGAGTTGATGGGACAGAGGAGGAATAATCACTTAAACTCCCTCCTCCATTACTGGTCTGCAAGGATTAAAGTTAGTTTTAAACAGTGATATGCTGCTTTCAAGAAGTTACAATCCCCAGCTGTACCTTACTTAAGTCCTGACACACGGAACAGCAGCCTAGGCTCAGGAGCGCAGTGGGACTGCTCTACTGCCACTTTTCCACACATTCCTATTCTGAGCCCTTTCAATATTTTCCTTGCCATTACTTTTTGAGAACACAGCTAGTTCTGCTGCTATGGAATGGAGGGTTTCATCCTACACAATACAACCCAGCTGGATAGAAACCCTTTCATTTGGTTTATTAGTATATGAGTAAGCAAAACATCGGGGAAAGTCTGTAAATTCTGCTTTTCTACTTTAAAATCCCCAATTCTGCCCCAAACCTAAGTAAAAAGCATTTAGTGCCATAGAACTGCATAGCTGGGCTTGATCCTAATCTGGAGACATCCATTCACTGAAGTTAATTCAATGTCGTAACATGGCGACTACAGGGAGAGATAGGTTCCCAACCCATTTGCTGAAGCCATTGGTACAGAGATCCACAACTTGAAAGGAAGACATTCCAATTTATTCCAAGTAGCCAGAACTGTAAAGTTACATCATAGTCTTGAAAGAAAGAAACCACTTAGCCCATAAAGCAACGAATGAACTGAGGCAGGGAGTCACTAATAGCAGGAAGGTGAGGAGACTGGACAGAATGAAAAGAACCAAAAGGTGAAGAACAACAAAGTCACTTTGTTGTTGTATTTAATTACTACTACACATAACATAAATGAGTACTAAAGCATAATTAAAAAGAATATGGAAGTAGTCTGGAAAGGCAAAATGACAGAGTTTGAGGTTTCTTCCCTATGGATAGAAGTATACCCTTTGAGGATGTAGGGGGAGCGACAGCACAAGGGGTGATGGGTTCAAACAGGGGGAGGTCAGGTTGGATCTAAGGCAGAAGCTCTTCCCTGTGAGGGTGCTGAGGCGCTGGCACAGGGTGCCCAGAGAAGCTGTGGCTGCCCCATCCCTGGCAGTGTTCAAGGGCAGGTTGGACACAGGGGCTTGGAGCAACCTGCTCTAGTGGAAGGTGTCCCTGCCCGGGGCAGGGGTTGGAGCTGGAGGAGCTTTAAGGTCCCTTCAACCCAAACCAGTCTGTGGTTGTATGATTCTATGATATAATGTACATGCTGATGGGGGACTGGTGCAGGGCAAAGGAGGAGAGTTCTGCAACGCTGCTGGTGAAAAGCTCATCAGAAGAGCAGCAGTGGGGAAGGCTCTGGACAACAACCCCCACGTATCTTATGGGGGGGCAAGATAAAGGTCTGTGATGCACACAGAAAGGTGTAAAAACAGATTTAGAGCAGCCAACTCTCCTAAAAGAAGTGAGGAAAGAAGGTAAGAGGGTATTTCCAGGATGCTTGAGGAGGATAACACTTAACCTGTTGTTGGTCTCATCTTAATTGCTGTAGGTAGGAATTCTGTGGGTAAAGTTGATCAAAAGGGAAAGCACTCCAATGCCTACTCTTCCTCATTGCTCCTACACCACTGACTGGTCCTACACGTGCACAAAGCTGCCATACAGGGGAGGCACCAGCTGTATGACAGGACTTCTCACTTCTCACACACACCTTGGAAGTCAGCGTACGGACCGGAATCTCAAGTTGCAAGCAGTCAAGATGAAACCTCTAAAGGAGAACCAAGTAAGAGACAACCCTTTGTCCAGCTGAAGTCTCTATTAATGATTTCAAGTCCTCTTCTGATTCCTCCAGCTTTGCCAAATTGTCCTTTTTTTTTTTTTACTTCTAAATTCAAGAAGCAAAGGATAAAAGGAAGAGGTAGGAGACAAGGGCCAACCAATACTGATGGAAATACAGGAACACCACATCTGCAAGCACTGTTTCTCTGTAAACAACCACTTGTTCCTCAGCCCATTTCCATGTGACAAAATAGGACTGAGAATACAGCAAATGAGCTTTTTGATGGAGAAACTTCATTTCTTGTGGCCTAACAGAGAAGGGCCTGCAGAAACACCCACTGACTCTGTGGAAGTCAGAGATGCCCTCTCCAAACCACCACAGGAAAGACTCTTGCACAAAAAAGGCATGCCAAAACATGCACCTGGGAGCCTCAAAGTGATTGCCAGATGTTTGCTGAAGTTCTAATAGCCAATCACTTGGAAAATGAGTACTAAACCCACTGGCCATGTCAGAGATGAGGAGGGTGAGGTGGAAGCCTTAAAAAGTTGGGTCACGAAAGAAGGGGTAGGAGGAGAACATCTGGAAACTCATGTTTTACTACTGTAAAACAGCATTAGGAACCAGAGATGTTGATGTCAAAGAATGGCTTTCAGACTAGAATGGTGAGAACTTAGTGTGCCCACTCTGCCATGGCTGAACCAAACCGGGGTGGGGAAAATGAGGGAGAAGGAAATCTAAGGAAGAAACCACGAATGGGAAAAGGCACGGAGCACATTTAAGATTAAACTATGCAGCTGCAAGGCTCACCCAAGGAGGTGACACTAAATGATGAAGGTGGTGGAGAAAAGAAAGAGCACGACAGGGTTATGCCTCAAAACACTTAGAAGAAGCCTGTTTTACAGAAAGGAGAGGAACAAAGCAAGAAGATTCAGATGGACACTGACGACAGGATTTGAACCACAAGCTGTTGAAACATAGAAGGGTACAGCTCTGTTCTGTCCCATAATATTGATCCGGGTGATAACTATGCACCAAAAGCTTCCCACGTACAGCACAAAAAGGATTCCCTCAAATTCTACCTTTTCCATCTTTCATCATTTTAGAGCATCATTTTAGACTTCTTGACATGAGACACTTTCTTCTGGATTTGTAAGTGATGTATTTTCCAGGAATGAGTAACTCCTAAAGGAAACCACACATATGTTGGGCGTTCTAGTCCCCAAAGCCAAGTATTTCTACAGAGACACCTTTTAGCACACGAAAGGAGTCCCGTGGGCAGTTATTTCTTTTCACACATACTAACTCCACTGGATTTTCAACTTCTTTAGTTTCAAAATAGGCTGTATGGAATCACTGGCTGGACAAAAAATACCATCTATTTAAAGAAAGGATTTACAAGTGGAAAAGGTCAAGGTCTCCAGAGAAGAAAAGCACAGCTACCAGTAACCAACAAGCTCCAACTCCTATTGAAGGTGCCAAAAATTAGCAAAGGTATAAAACCATGTGGGTGCTCTGAAACACCTCCGTAGAGAGAATAGGTTTGACAAGAAAGAGCTCAGGCATGACTTCCAAAATACAGCCTGCACAGACAAGAGTAGTACCAAATGCAACCAGACAAGATATTCTTGGTAACATCTGAGCTTAATGCACTGCTGAAGGAAACAAAAGGTGGTGAGTGGTGTGTGTCAGGTTGGTTGCTTGCAGCAAGTCTCAGGACCTTGCCATGTTAAGATTGTAGAGATCAGGTTCCTGCCATTGGTATGCAAGTGCTTAATGAGAAGTTCACTGGAGTGAAGTACAGGATTTAGGACACGTGGCAATAACTATAATTCACAGAAATTAATGTTTGTCTCAGTTCATAAATATCAAGGCAGTGCATCTGAAGAACAATCTTCCCTACAGCACCTGTAATCCAACATGAATCTAATACAAACCCTGACTGCAGACAAACTGGTCAACTTGGTGGCAGTCAAAAGCAATGAAATAAGCACTCAAATACCCACTGGGACATTACACAGCTTAATGTTACCTTCTCAAACAAGTCTTTCCATTGAGCTGCTCTCAAGTTTTGGACATACCTGAGATGTCAGCAGAAAGGGCCATTTTGGAGCCACTGCTCTAACCAGAGCCATGGCAAGAAGGACAGAGGTCACTAATGACTCTAGGGAAGGAAACTATCAGCCTCGGTACAACCATTCAGAGATACATCCTTGTTTGCTTTTCTGGGGTGACAGACTGTCCCGTCCTCATTAAGGCAGCATGTCCACTCTCAAACTTGTTTGGCTTGTGGACATACACAGAACAACCTTGTCTTTCCTTCCTGCTAGGAAGATACGGAGCCTGGTGATGGTCAGTGAACTTCAGCGCACCCACAGCGAAACCCCTGAAGGCCTTTCATTTCAGGGAGATGTTATTTCTAGAACGTACCTTGTGTGAATGGCCAGTACACCAGTTACAGAAATGTGTATAACTTGGGTATCTAGACAGGCTTCTAGCTTTGTTGTCACATAGATAGATGCTGTAAAACACCTCAAGGTCATGGCAGCAAGCTCGAACTTAGCGGACTGTGTTGTTACCAGCCAAGAATAACTCAGATGAAGCTATCAACCCGGCATAACTTGACCAAGTAGGTCCATTCAATGCAGCTACCTCAAAGGCAGTCACTGCCAATGAAAGTATTAAAGCCTGGAATGAGATTGCCCAGAGAAGCCGTGGCTGCCCCATCCCTGGCAGTGTTCAAGGCCAGGTTGGACACAGGGGCTTGGAGCAACCTGCTCTAGTGGAAGGTGTCCCTGCCCGGGGCAGGGGTTGGAGCTGGAGGAGCTTTAAGGTCCTTTCCAACACAAACCAGGCTGGGATTCTGTGAGTGTAACATCAGGGAAGAGGAAAGCAGACAGATCAAAAAGCACCAAGAGAATGTGAAGAAAACTGAAGAGAAACTGACATATTCAAAGAAGTGTTCTCAGTGAGATCACTAAGAACATGTAATTAGCCAAAGATGTGACAATAGATGGCAATAACAGTGGCACAACTGAGTTAGAAACTGGCAAAATCTGAGAGAAGACCCAAGTCTGAATTTGAAGTTTAAGAGACTTTAGAAAGAACAAGGAATCAATGGGCTTAACCAAAACTAACAGAAGCACCTTACTGTGGTCCTGTGAAGATGAAGAAGGGAAGTAAAAGTAGACAAACAAATGAGTGTTGCCACTGGAGTCCTGGAGAATGGACTTCCAGATGTACTTGTGTACTGCACATGAATGAAGGGGAATATATACACACATATATATATATATATATA